GAGTTTTCCAATTTGTTTAGAGCACATTTCAAGGTCAAGACTATACGTATACATATTCGATGTATATAGGTTATTAGGGCATTCAATAAATCTACCCAAGTTATTACGGTAACCGATCACGATAATATAATCGACGATGAACTATATTTTCGTAGCGGGAACAAAGATGTAGTTAAAGAATATTATATTATCGTATTATCATGCAACCATAATATTAAACTTCTGCCACACTTTTATAAAATCGTTTAATTTCCATTGGCCTCTTATTATTATAATTTCGCTGGATACAAATAAAGTGTTTGTTTCAATCACAGGTATAGATAATAAACTACAGATTGATAACTAGTAATATGATGTAAATCATTATCCACTATTTCGGGTAAGAAAAATGGACACCGAAATCCCGTAAAAATTTGAATTATATCATCAGCAACTATAGAAAGTATTTAAAAATTCAACATTAATAAGAAACAGATATGCGTGAATGAGTTATTATTATCAATAAACCTATACTAATCTATACTATATCTATACTATATATTATAAATATGAAAGTCAGTCAGTTTGTTACGTTTTCATGTTTAAACCGCTGAACTTATTTTGATAAATTTTGGTATGAAAATAAATGGGAACTGTGAGAAAACAAGCTAATTTTTGTCGTGAAAATAAAACTTTAAGGAGATGAAAGGTTTTAAGGTATTTTTGGTACGAAAATTACATACATTTTGTTGAATTATGAATTATCTTAGTAACACGGATGAAATGAAAACAAATAAAAAATATAATCAACAGAAATAAAAATGCCACGACAAATACAACAACTTAAAAAAAAGAGTTTAACTATCTGCCGATCTATTATTATTGGCTTGAAGTAAGATGAGCTAAGTAAGTAAGCTACCTTGGTAACATGGATAAAAAAAAAACAAAAAGAGCTGGTACTGTGGACGGAGTCAGCCTGTTGTAGGTGAAAATAGTTGGGAAGGTAGGATACATTAAGTTATATCTGTACACAACCATTGCTAACGAAAAACGATTCTAAACAGAGCATAATTAAATTCTCCTTGTTACCAAGGTAACTCAGAAATCAACAAAAAATAAAAAATAATTGTAATTTTGTCAGATTTATGAATAAAATTGAAAAGAAAATCGATAACCTCCTCGGTGTAACAACTAGATTAAAAATGTTACTAGAAAGTTTCTATAAAGGTTTTGATTTCTAGTAGAAGAGTTATTTATGGACACAAAAAAACACACTCAAACATAACAGGAAAACCAATTTAACATATAGAAAAAAAATTTAAAAATAACCAATTAATATTAAAATATGGTATTATTTACATAAGCATTATAGTTTGAAATACAATTATATGAAACCGTTCAACGTTGGGTATCAATGTATCGTCATAACAAATTTAAATTAATTAGACAACAGTCATTGTCAAATAATAAATAAATAAATTGGGTACTTGAGGCATAGAAAAATATTACATTATAAAGTTAGAATTTGTTATCGAAACTATTGTGATATGATAAGATACGATAGTGACATCTTATATTAGTACCTTTTGGCGGACATGGTGCGTTAAATGTTTTCACGGTCAGGAAACCTATAGTAATATAAATTATTTTCTTTGTATCTGTTGATACGACAGAATAAGTAGTGTTACTATGTTATTAATTATTATTGTTATAGGATTATCTATAACAATTATTATTATTGTCACATTCTAACTGCAGTTAGAGTCTAGCGATACGATCACGAAGAATAGTGATAACCGAATTATAACCAACAGTATACCGAGTGTATATTGGTATTGGTGAGGCGTAACAAATTTTCCTTTTTTTTTTTTAATCTGGCCGATTCGAATTTTAAAGGGAAAATAGTCGGCTACCATATAAGTAACAAGTTCACGGTTTTTCACCGATACTCAACATGCGGTCGATGGTTTATTTTTCAAATCATTCGATGTATATTTTTTTTTCGTTGTTTTTAAAAACTTTACCACGTTCGTTTTCGACCGATAAAAAATCTGTCCGTGACGGTTTTCTAAAAAAAAAAAAAAACCGTCACCAGACAAAAACGAGTTTGATTCCTTAAACATAATACATCGCGTCGTGTACATAATATAATAACATATTCATGCACGCGTTTTTTATGCTCGGTTTACCAAAAAACCTGTCGATTGGCACGAGCGAACAATTACTCAAATTACCGACTCTTGTGTAGATACACCACCACAATTGTTTTTCACACTGTATAAAAGAAACTACAATATATAATATATATTATTTTTTACGATTCTGGAAGCCGTACGAGAAGTGTGTAAGTTTTACTTTTATGTATAATAAAATGATGTGTATATTTTTTCTGCCGGTCTTTCGAACAGAAAACTTGATCTGATTGAAAAATGACAAGAGACCGATTTTGTGGCATTTAGGATCTAGTTAGTGTATTAAAGAGGTCAATTTTTGGTTTACCTAGAGGTCTCCGAAATAATTAGGAAAAATCAAAAACAAAACTACAGAAAAAATAATAAATATTTACGCCGTACGATTATTTACGACGTTAGCAATTTCATAATTTTTAATTTATATGCACAATGTTTTTCTACCAGAAATATTGCTTTTATTAAAAAATACCAAATGACCTTTTGAATATAATTGCTCACGAAGTAAGTCATTTTTTGAATTTTAAACAGTTTTAATAATAATTCGGAAAAACCAGTGGAAGACAAAAAAATGATAAGGAACAAATTTATAGAAATATTGCTTTAATAAAAAAAGGAGAATAGATCTTTATTGTTGTATTTTTAATCTTGTTAGAGAATTAGAAAGTCGTTTCTTTTATTTTCTGTGTATTTTCTTAATAAAGCAAAAAAATTATCTTAACACTTATCTAAAACAGTTTAGTGCACTAAATTCCGAACCTTAGGTGTAACTTGATATCTGATATATTGTTTACAAAATCAACTTTTACGTAACAATCGTTATAATATTGTAGATATACTTAAATGTTTAAAAAAAATATATTTGATTTTATGGAAATTAAATAGTTATGGCTCAGTAAAAACACTTAGAAATTCAACAAAAAGTTGATTAAAATTTGTAGGAACTTATTGATAAAAAAAAACCGACTTACTTCGCACGATGGGTGGGTTACTGTTGTAGATGGGAATATGAGAAGGTAGAGAGAAAATTAAATGTCTATCTGTACGCAACAATTAATCATTGCTAACGAAAACCGATACTGAGCGGAGTTCGACTGCACATGTTTTGAAAGCCCGTAACATTTACGATTTAAAATTAATACATATCGTACATTTTCCTGTTTTTCCTACTGTTTATCCCAATTTTTTCCATTTATTTTGAAATCGGAGAAAAATTACTAGTAGAAACGAAGTTCACTAAATAAAAATAATCATTGTGTAATAAATACATAATCCATCGCTCGGCTCAAAATCTAAAATATGGAATAATGAAATTACAGTTTTGAAACTTTTTTGTGATTATAGCGCCTTCTTTCTACTTTTTAATGGAAACTGTGATATTTTTAATAATTGCAGAATATTTTTAAATTTAGAGCGTAGCTAGGGATCTATTGGTTTTACTACGATGTGTGTTTTTTTTCAATCTGTAAACAACTTTTCGAAAAGAAACATTGCTCCAATGTACAGAGTATAGTAACTTTCCAGAAAGGAAATTGTTTCTTGTTGATGCATACGACGAGTCCATTTTTAACTTTCCTAGGGTTTTTTTAAATAATTGGGAAAAACCCGAAAGAAAATTATAGATAAAACGCCAAATATTTACGGCACCCGGCGGCATTATCGATTTCATTGTTTTCATTTTTTGCAACATATGTTTTCTACTAGAAATAACGATTTTCTCAGTTTTCCTACGTTTTTCCCGATTTTCCCGGTATTTCCCATTTGTTGGGAAAATTCCTGAGAAAACTGAAAAATGACCTCTCTAATGTTCCTCCCTAGTGAAATTTTCTTTTAAAAACATTGCTATCAATATAGATTTGGAGCAAAATTGTTGATAGAAAAGTAGTGCACAGAAAAAAAGAAGGCCGTAATATATTTTAACTAGTACCTACATTTCTTATATTTTCCCGTGTTTTTTTTATTGATTTTTCAAATTTTATGAGAAAACTTCTGCAAAAATCGAAAAATGTCGTTCTTAAAGTTCACACCGATTTCCTTTCATAAAAAAAAAAAAGAAATCCAAGCAAGTCTTCTAGTAGAAAAGTGGCACACAGATAAATATAAAAAAAAAACTCTTTGTAAAACTATAAGCTTCTTCCCTTCACTCAAAATCTAAAATTACCACGTTATAAAAAGTAAATATAAGTATTCTGTCACAATTTCAAGTCTCTACGAATATTTTAATTTAAATTACAAACAAAAAAACCAAATTATTATTAGAAATAGTTATTTTTAAAATTTTCTCAGTTTTTGTACTTTTTTATTTTTCCCAATTACTATGAAAATTACTTAGAAAATTAAAAAATTACCACTTTAAATTACTAACTAAATAATTTTTTTTTAGAAAAGGTGCTACACTTGATACATTCAAGCCAGGTTTTAGGTAGACATTTTCTACATAGAATAAAAAAAACAAAAAATAAAAAGATAAACATGATTGTAAGACCTAAACATTCCTTGCTTTTCTCAGANCTTTACCTAACCCATCATGTGATGGAAAATTCGGATAATGGGAAAATAGCACAGGCCCAGGCTCCTGGCCCAGAAGCTCACAAATCATCTTACTGTCTCTCTTTACGTCGCGAATCTAAAAAATAGAAAAAATTAAAATCCTGATCTACTCCATAGCATACATAGTACACTGTTGTATACTTTTTACTTCGTGGCGGATGACGGTACGTTTTTGTATTACTGAACGTGCATGCAATTATAATAATAATTAGTTTGGCAATATTTTTTACATAATATATTGAATTTTCTTCAGTTTTTTTTTTTTTTTTTTTCTGAAAACAAACCGTGAGAAACACCAATCTGAAACTTGGTGACAGCGAGGACTCCTGTATAATAATGATGTATAGAACACACACATAACAACCTTATTTTATCTTCTATTTTTTTTTTTTTTTTTTTTTTTTTTTTTTTAGTGGCTGCCGGTGCGTAGGACAATATATTATTATTATTATTATAATGCACTCTTTCTCTTTCTATGCAGCTCCTCTCGTAATGGTCTCGCGCACTTGGCCATCTGTTATTTTCGTCTTCGCGGGTTAATTTGTTTACGTCGGCGTAAATTTTGGAAATCTGTTCCGCCAACGACACCGTGTGTGCGCACGGCCATGTGAGCCTTTCAACACTATACATATGCGTGCTCCCGGCGAAATTTCCACTCGTCGTTAAGAGCACACTATACGACACTCTGTTAAGTATAATATTATTATGATGTACGTCATATGTAATATTTTCATGGGATTTATAGGTTAGGTTAGGTAATATTTCGCATCGATGAACGTAAACGACACGACGACGAGACGTCTTAATGTTTTCGGCGTGTTTTTTTTGTGTCCATGCCACCAATGATAAATTCTAAATAAGAGAAAAAAACAATCTGTGTTTTTCTACAAATATACAAATTTGTTTTCAACACATTCCGACGTCAGATGTGTATGATTTATGTGTAATATTATATCCATCTCGTTTTTCAAAAGAGCGCATAAATAACAAATAACGATCTCGGTATTGGTGCCTTGTTATTAGTTTTACTAGTAAATAATAATAATAATAACAAATCTATAAATATTACAAAACAAAGTCGCTATTCGCGTCTGTCTAATTGTGCGCTAAGTTCTTATAAACTGCGCAATGGATTTCGATACGGTATATATGGTGTATCTAATACGTATTATATTTATAGAAAGTAATGAAAAGACGATGTTTTGTAATCAAGTCGTATAAAAAAATATTATCAAGAGCTTGCATTTCTAACGCTAATTAAACATTATGAGATACATTAAAATAATGTAGACATTACGGGATTTTCCGCCACTGCTATCGGTGATTGTGTGTACTGTGTACAATTTTATATATTAAAAAGGCCTACAAAAAAGCCCCCGATGTATATGTCTATTTCCCAAGTATAATCCGCAGTAGAATGTGAATGTAAAAGTTTGGATGGATATTTGTTACTGCTTCACTCCAAAACTCTGAACGGATTGAGCTAAAACTTTGCATATAGGCAGTTCTAAACCGGGATTAACGTATGGGTTACGTTATTGCTCCGAAATTCTCTCTAAGGGAATCACCCACAGGTTTAATGGTATTTTCAGTATAAAAATCGAATTATTTTTTTTGATTTATGAATATTAAAAATTAAATTAAAACAATGTTACTTTAGAAACTTAGTTTTTTGTTGAACTGTATTTTCTTTTGGAATGGATAACGCTACGTGTCGGATGGGACAGCTAGTACACAGGGTATCCCACAAAAATAATATGATCAATATGAAAACTTGAATAGTATTAACTTTTCGGAATTTTTTTTTCTGTTTAAGAAACAAATAATAGCTCTAAAATGTTACATTAATATTTTTTTTGCCTTATTTATTTTTGAGAAAGAACCTAATATTAATTTTTATTTTAGAATGATAACATATTTTAAATATTCCATAATTAGACGAAGTATTAGTTTAAATATATTTTTGCATGGAATTTTTTTATAACGAGGATACCTATTCTACTTTTAAATTTCGGTAAGGGGAAAGTAGCGGATCGCTATTCAAACACCGAGCAATGTGTCGTCACACAAATAATGTTTCATTACTCTAACTTCAAAGTGGAATATTTCAACAACAGGTTAACGGAAATTATAAATTTCAACAGTCAATATTTTCCAAGACATCACAATATCTTCGAAGAATAACCTGTATAATAAACATATAAATATATGATGTTTTTATTCGTTTTCTAAACACTTTTTTAGTTAGTAAAAACGGTCAGATTTGTTTCTCGTCAAGCCTTAAAAGTTGCGGTTTTTTTGCCCACCGTTATTTTATTTGAAAATAATGTTCAGATTTCCAACGGGTTTTCAAAAAAAAGCCACTGGTTTTATTTTTGTCGATTTCTGTACTATAATAATGATCTTACTAGTTTAACGAGCTCCACTCTGATTCATTTTTCGATTGCAACGATTTACAGCTCTTTTCAGACTCCAGTAGCTGCATACATTATTACCCTATACAAGCCCAATGTTATCCAGATTTCCACTTTTACAACAGTGGCCTTACTTACGGTGCGGAGTATGTGCGATAGTTTTTAATATTATTCGTTTAGAACGTTTCGAAGATTTTGCTAAGGAGGAAGATATTTAAGCAGAAAATTATGTACTAATAGGTAATTAGGCTAAAAAAATTATATACATCTATATATTTTTGTAATTAGTTTATAATTCAAACCAAACTAAAATGACCATATTTTCATTTTTCACATGAACAAAATCATCATTAAAATCAAATAACTAAGTATACCTAGGTAATTATTAATCATTAATAAATTTACTATTTTATAGTTATCTACTAATTTTACCTAGTATTGTGGTTCGGATTTACTCGTAGGTTTCGTTTTAAACAAGAACATGTATACATTCGTTGAATTTTTTTTATATACATTTATAATATTATAACTATAGGTACCAACACAATAAATTGTCGATTTATCAATATGACTAAAGTCAGTTTTTTAGTTAAAAATTAAAGACATTTTAATTTTAAAATGCGCAGTGGTATACAGACGCCAAATAAAAGTCCGAGTAGGGAGTTAGTGTAAAATGTCTCCCCGATCTCCCACGTAAATAATACACCACTATGTTTCCAGTTATTTTTTTGTGGAAAGGAAATAGATGGTCACGGCCGTATACAGCGTGATAATATCGTAGGCCTATGTCGGGGGTACCTACATACCTAATCGTAAATCGGATTATAATGGAATTCCGGTAGAAAAAAAAAAAAAAAAACGAAATCTTTCAATCGATTTCCGGACACAATATAATGCGTTCGGATCACCTCAAGCCTTAAGGTACATAAATTTATATAAAGGCACGTACAGGTTCAACGGGTAGGTATTGTACGTGTGCATTATTAATTCCTATTGTGAAAACTCGCTGCTATAATAATAATAGCCATATTATATTGTACATTGTATACCTACTATATATAGTTCATCATCACAGTGATATTGTACCGTGCGGATGTCATTATATTATTATTGTAACGCACTCGACAACAATGTGACCGAGGCATTAAATAATAATAATCGTACACACGTTTTTCGGTTTTGACGAAAAATTCCGACGCCGACAATTATTATTATTATTATTGTTACACACACGAGTGTTAAGAGAACGCACACTTGTTGTATATGAAGACATCACAATTTGGCACCCCGGCTTGTACAATGTTTTTATATTTATCTGTATACAGTATTGGTAGGTCCACCAATACACGCGCACGTATTACTATCGAGTAACGGGCACGGTATACGAGACGGTCGGACAAGTATGTTATTATCGTTATCATAAAATCATAATATCATATACGTATACGAAACAACAACAACAATAATAATAATAACATCGTTGGATAGTTCGGAAGGAACCGGGACAACGATATAATTATTATATAATATACAGGTACCTATATTTATATACTCGTATATGTACCGCTACGGGGGTCAGACCGGCCCCGCGATGAAGACATTATACAGGTACGCGTCTCGAGAGAACGTCGTATTCGTATAGTTGTTGTTCGTGGTACGGTATAGGTATAGTCTTTTATTACTAAGGATTATTTTATTTTATTTTTTTTTTTTTTTTGTTCCTCCTCTATATTATATACTTAGTCTTTCGTGCACGAAACAAAAAAAAAAAATTACCACGACGTCTCGGTAATAACCGCATGCCCTTCACAGCGAGTAGTCCAAGCATACACACACACGCGTACACACATACATACATACATAAAATGTATTGAGCTGTTAACTGTGTATTATGTGTATATGGGTAAATGTGTGTGTGTGTGTGTGTATGTAAAATATGTTCGGAGTAATTACGATTTATTGATCAATCTATTACACGACGACGTATAAATAATATTGGCCCGGATATAGACACGTGTTGTAGTAGTACTATTTAATACTGGCGTTTCGTGCGGAGGAAAACTCGAACTCTTCGACGATAGTAATTAATTATTTAGCGGCGATGAATGGTCACGGCACTGCACATAAAAAACCGATATATTTATTGTTGTTACCCCCTTCACCTGCTTTAGTCCCCGAACCGACGTGTAGGTTTTGCATAGAAAATTGAATGTTATTTTCGATAAAGTTCCGACATGGGCTTGCGAACGGTGCGGATGGAGGTCGTCGAAAGCTGGAAATCCCCGGGCGAAGTAATATTAGAATATTTGAGGTTATGCAAGAGAAACCCATCTCCTTATTTTTGAGGGTGAACCGACTTACAACGGTAATATAATATTTAAAAACAACTTGTTTCTTAAATTATCAAAACAAATTTTGAAAAAAGTTAATACTCTTTCCAAAATATATTCATAAGTTGCTACATATAAACTTGTCTCGTACTTGTCTGCTAGATATATTATAATATGGTCCGAACCGTCTACAAACATAATTAGTACGTAATAATCGTAGTATCGGGAGGTAGGTACAATCTTATTTTTCCCTTGAAGTTTTAAGTTCGTACGGCCAAAAACCATAATTAATCGTTAACGTGTGTCTAGAAGGGATTAAAAATATTTTTTTAAAAACCGCACGCTATCATACTTCATCAGGAAACGTAAGTCATGCTGCGCCACCGTCGATATGGTGAAAAATAATCAATTTTAGATACTCTGGTTAATATTAAAATGATAACAACAATTTTTTTTTACGGAACTGAATGAAAAAATACTGAACAATAAGACTGCTAAGGGTGGGGAGGTGGTGTAAAATATTTGTGTCCCGGGAGAGAGTAACGTAATAACCACGATTCAAAATTAAAGTCCAGTACGCACGAAAACAATATCATCGACAATAATATTATTTTATAGTTTTTGACGAATATTTACGCGGTTTGAACATCGTTTATTTAAGATTCTCAGCGTATATAGTGTGGCCCGCGTATTATACGTAACACTAAATATCTCAGCCCAATGACCTTGTAGATTGAAACGGGATTTTCGGGAGGTGATGGGAAGTACCAAAGTACACTGTCTGGGATAATTTTCAGTTTTTGACCCTTTCAGTGCGCGAATGTACAATTAATAAAATTACTTTATTTGATTAGCAACCCTTATTTTTGTCGGAATACGTATTGATTTTACTATATTATGATATGTACTGTTTTTTCGCTTTTTTTTCATCTGATAACAACTTTTCTCACAAACATTTTTTAACTAATACGATCCATCAGATTAAAATTCAGCGTGAACTGTGCCTATACGAGATCGAATAGGCGATTATTTCGAATTCCAATTAACTCGATTTCCAAAAATTTGAATTG